GGGAATGTGTCTTCTTCTTAATGCACTCATTAATTCATTCCAATATTGAATTAGAGGATCATTGTGAAGACGTCTTTCTCTTTCTAGAGAGGTCCACCAATACATGGCATACCCTCGGAAACTTATAGTTGTCAATGGAACTCTCATTTCTTCACTCACTTGATGACAAGGGAATAATTGTTCTACCTTTATCTCCCAATCAAGATAAGCTTTGACATCATCTTTATCATGAAAGTATGGGTGATCCACCTTGGATTCCCTAGGCTTTTGTGCTCTATGAGTTCTCCTAGGAGGGGGTTGATAATGTTCACCTAAATTTAGGCTATCCTCATGTATAGTGACCTCTAAGGTAGAATTATGAGAGTGAGAACTTTGACTTCTAGATTGATTTCGATTATTCAATTTTTCTTCCTTTTGCTTTAATAGTCTAATCTCCTCCTCAAGAATAACAATTTGAGCCTCTCTTTCAATTGTTTCTTTAAATTTTTGTAATGCTTCCTACTCTCTCTAAATTTTAGTGATTTAAGTTCAAGTGCAATCTTTGAAACATCTTTACATGCACTTACATCACTATCACTTTAGGAGGTGAAAGATTATCTATTATAGGCAAAATTTGTTTTATGAAAGATTTTTTAAAATAACTAATTTTGTAGAGCAATAATTAAGTACTTAGAGGACTAAGTATACAAATTGAACCTATGAGGGAGGTGAGCTACTAAGAGCCACTTAATAACCAAGCCTCTTCAGATAAAAATTATTAATCCCCTTTACAATTAGTCTTTTCCAAAAATTTTTTTTATGAAAATGATTTTTTTTGTTCATGAGTGAGAGGTATATGTACTATCTAGTCGTGATGTACTAACAAAAAGAATAAAACAATGAATAAAATGATTATATAAATTGCTCATTGAATTTTTCTTTTGTTTTCTCCTTTTTTTTAAACACTTTTGCAAATTAATAGGAGTTGCCTTTTTCTCTTATTTTGAATTTCAAGTAGCATCTCGGCCATGTGAATAAGACTAGGCACATCGAATCGCATTTCAAAATTTGAATTCTAAATGTAATGCAAATTTTCTCAAAATGACATAACATTTTTCATGCTTTTCTTGTTTCATTAATTGCAAACAATGTTCCATGGTCTAGTTCATTAATTTTCAGATTTGTGGTTCAAATTTGAATCAATTTTTTCTGCAACTAGCAACACCACATGAAAGCAACAAGAGTTTTGGCATTTTAAGAAAAATTATGAAGACTTAAAGATATAATGGAAACCTAACTCTACAAGAGAATTACTAATGATCTAATAGTAATTCATGAACTCAAATTGTTCAAAAACAAAAGCACCAAAGCTCAAACTCAATCGGTAAAAACAGAGTACATATCATTTATCATGCAATTTTCGGATCAACAAGCATAGCTAGGAATTATTTGACATGTAAAAGACTACACATGACTCTAAAAACAAAACCAGATGGATTCAAAAAAATAAAGAATCAAATATAGCATATGACCAAATAAAATTCAAAATCAAGAAGACTTAACAAATATAAAACACACAAGCAAATGAAACCTAAGGCACTTTCAAATCATGATTCATATGAAGCAAAATATGAATCAAATTGAATTTTCCAGAAAAACTAGATCTATCAATTGATGAAGCAAAAATTAGATCTAGGAAGCAAATTACTCAAGGCATGTGAAGCAATTGATTAGATAAAGAAGATAGATTAACCAAAAAGAAATGGTGAACTTATCTTTGAAGAGAGCTCACGATACCACTTGATAAAGCCTTGATGAGCTGAGCCTCCATGGATAATCCAATCATTTCTTCTTGTGCTTCCTTGAGGATCTTCAAGGAGTTATTTCGGTCAAAAAGGAATGCAATGATGAACAAGGTGAACCAAGCATCTCAAGTACAAAAAGCTTGTGCCTAGAACTACAAAGAGGAAAGCTCAAGGGGAGGTGGAGAAGCTATTCTCCCTAGTGACTCCAGCTAGAGAGAATTTAGATCTTAGTGAAGATGAAATTATCATTCAATATCCAAAGTGATTCAACTTACACGACAATGTGAGATTTATAGGCTAAGGTAGAGTGCTAGGGAAGCTAAGTTAACCTAAGGTTTAAACTAACCATATGGTTTAATTTAAACCTTAGCCGCCAAATTTAAATTTTCAAATTCAAATTTGGTGCTTACCTTCCTAGAAACCCGGAAACCCCATGTGCTAATGACATTTGCATGTGATTTAGTTTTCATTTAGGAGTGAATTTCGGTCACACCATGTGAGTGACACATATGGGTCCAAATTCACCCTAAATGTAAGACTAAATTACATACAAATGTAGATGCACATGTAATTACCTTATCCTATGCATCTCAAGTCTGGAAATACATAGACAAACAAAATCCTACACTACATGGCCCAAAATACAAAGCCCAAAATATCAACAAGCCTTCTTGGCCAAACCCTAATCTACATGGGCTTTCAATGTATAGCCCGACTGAAGAGCACTATGGGCTTTTCTTGAGAATTTAACCATTCCTCCTCCAACCTCTTGGCCATAGCCCTAGTAACTAGGCCCTTGGCCCATAGGCCCCATCACTGAGTAAATTAACGGTACAAAAGAATGACTTTATTAAAAGATAATCAATCAAGTTCTTCAAAAAAAATTAATCATTGCTAAAATTGATAAATACTTAACACTAATAACATAGTTAGAAAAAGTTACACAAGTGATTTAATCCTACTTCCCAGTAGTTGGTCTCTACAATGAAAGGGTGGCTTACTCCCTTCCTTCATCAATGATATTCCATGGTCTGTGCTTTGGGAGCATCTAGAATCTTCTATAATTCTTGAGGCCGACAAGGTAGTGTAAGTGCTCCTTGATGTATGAAACCATACTCTTCACGAGCTTGGTCCAAAAGTTCCAAGAATGCAGGATCATTCAAGTAGTCCAAACCAACAATGAACCTTTTGGTTTCCTCACCCTTGATCGCAAGAACAGCAAAATATCCTTCCATAACATCATCTGGTGAAGTGGATGTTGCACAATCTTCACTGAAGTAGCTGAATGCAGGCTTTCTTGGTCCAAACAATGAGAGACCCTTTTGTATCCTCCCAACAAAAGACCTAAATAACATCTTGATCGAACTATGTTTTATTTCTGATTAGATTGATAGTGAATCAATGAGTGTACTGAGAAGTTTTAGAGCTTGGAGTCCTCGTATGCAGAATTTGGCTATTTATGCTGAGAACTCACCCAATCTTGACTTTAGGTGCTTATTAGCAAAATGTAGACAACGTGTTTCCATGCATTGCATTTATTTCCAATTTGCCATTATTTGATGGGTCCTCTTATCTGAGGGAAGACCTAGCTATGATTTGTTGTTCCTGTCTCTCTCATGCTACTGTATATGTTTCAAACACTCCGAGAATTTGGCTTTTTGCTTACATGAATGATTCAAACAGGAAGATATTTTAGCAAAGCGAATGCTAATTTTTAATAATGCATGGGTCGTGATAAAGGTTTAAAAAATCTACATGCATTATTAAAAATTAGCATTCGCTTTGCTAAAATATCTTCTTGTTTGAAATATTCATGTGCATATACATACTTGGACTCCTCCTGTATAACTTTCTTCTTGCTTATAAATTTGTAGAAGTGCATATCCATACTTCACAAACGGTCATTTGAAAAATATACAGACAACCAAACATAATCAAATAGCCTATTTGTGAATAACATTAAACTTTATAGCAAAGTAAACAGAGCTGTAAAGCAAAAATGTAAATTAATACTTGATTCACGCGGCATACTATACTCCATAACCCCACACCTACATTATTGCGTAGTTTAACAAAATTAAAAATAAAATAAAAATATTCACTACTACAAGACATGTTATTTACATCGGTTCTTTAACACCATCTACATCGGTTCTAAAACCGATGTAGAATGGAGTGACGTAATAAATGTATACCATTTTACATCGATTTTTTAAAACTGATGTAAATTTGTGTATAATTTTACATCGGTTCTGTGTATAATCGATGTAAATTTGTACACAAATTTACAAATTTACATCGGTTATACACAGAACCTATGTAAATTTGGGTACAAATTTACATTGATTATACAAAGAACCGTTGTAAAATTATACTCTCATTTACATCTGTTCCTGTCTGAACCAATGTAGATTATTAATTTTTTTTTAAAAAAAATTGTTTGATTTTAGGTTGTTTCTAATTTAACCTGTAATTAACACATATATAATTCTCTGCCATATTTTTGAAAATGTGAAATTAAAAGATTAAACAAAACCCACAAACAAATCAAAATAGACAAAAAGAACAAATTGACTTACACAAAAAATACACTATATGGCATATGTATTAATTTTAATTTTCATCTACAACTAATGAAGAAAAATCCTGAAAATCAAGGTTATAAAACTTTTCCACCAAAATGACAATAACAAACCATATTAAAGCATGAAACAGCCGACTATGGCATGGTATTTGTTCCCAGGAAGCTATTATAAGCTATTTGTCTTCACCTAAATCAACAATATATCTAACAACAATTCTAGTCCTAAAATTTATATGATCAATGTAATTATTTTATGTGACCAAAATCATTCTTTTATACTACTATAATTTTAAAGAAAATAAGAGCAAAAATAATTCCAACCCTAAATGTAGCCAATTTCTCCAATCATCCAACATCAACCAGTTAAACTTGCAGCAAAATCATGCTAAGGAGAATGCCAATAAAAAAAAGGTATATTGTAACCAAGAAAATCAGCCAAGTTAGTAGAACAACTTGATAAAATTGAACATCTAGTAGAATACCAAATCAAAAATAGAAACTAAAATTTGATATAATACAAACATAATAACGAATAAGTATAGCAATACAACACCAAATCAACTAGAAATAAAAACTAAAATGTGATCTAACCCTCCACGTAACCATAAACCAAAATGCAACATCGTCAAAAATCATGATCTATTTCTAAATTTTTCTAAAAAGAACTTTGCCCATTGACTGCGAATGTCTTCCAATTTTGTTTCTGGCAATGGTGCAACATCGTCAAAAAGCTATAACATACATGATGATATTAGTTACATCATAATCATTAAAAGAAATTAATCAATATTGTTAAAAATAAAACAATTATATTACCTCGATCCAATCAGTTGTTACTTCTCCTTCAATTATGTCCAACATCCAATTCATCACGTAGTATCCACATTCATAATGTCCTTGTTGCATATTACTCTAAAATGAATATCAATTTGAGTTGTATAAATAATTTTTTAATTAAGCTAATAAATGTAGACACCCAATTTCGTCCGGGGGCATACAATTAGCAAAATAGGAAATCAGAAGGCCCAAATCAAATTTTTTTAGTGGCCCGGAACGGGCCGTTCCCAAGTCCGGAATGGGCCGTTCTGGAATTGGAACGGGCCGTTCCGAGACTCCTAAAAGGCCTAAAAATGTTAGGTTGAAACGGGCCGTTCTAGGCCAGAACGGGCCGTTCCAAACCACTCAAAGGGGCCTAAATTTGTACCCCGGAACGGGTCGTTCTGAAATCAGAACGGGCGGTTTTGGTTCCACAGAACAGGCCGTTCTAATTTCAGAACGGGCCGTTCTAGGGTACGACAATACTACATAACGGCCATATCCAGAACGGGTCGTTCCAATTTTGGAACGGGCTGTTCTGGACCCTGTCTGAAGCCTATAAATAGAGAGCTTGGGCACATTTTTGAGGGACCCCAAAAATTTCGTCCAAAGCTCCTTAGAGCTCGAAATTTCTCTCTTTTTCTCTCTCTTGTATTTCTTGAGATTTTGTGAGGCATTGTAGTGTGAAAGGTTGCCACAAAGCACCTATATTTTTCATATTTGAAGATCTAACAAAGCTTGCTACGAGGTATTTCATTTAATCTTCTTCTCTTTCTTTTACTTCTTATTTTTTTGTTCATAAGAAACGCAATCATGTAGATATTTTAGGGTTAGTCGTATAATTTAATTTTTCAATATGTAAATAAATATTAATAAAAGGGATTTAATATTTAATTTATTAATTCTTATCACGTTAACTTCATCATAGGGTACTGATTGAGGGCGTTGTAGGGGTGCTTAATACCTTCCTTACACGTAACTGACCTCCGAACCCAATTCTGGTTATCAAGGCCATTATTGGATCTTTAAAAAACCTTTTCTTTTTCCAATATTTTGAGTAAAATATTGGTGGCGACTCCATGAACCTATTTTCAAAACCATTAATTAAGGATTAGTCTGGTGTCCGGGCATTCCTTAATTAATGAGACTTTTAAAAAGATGTCTAAACCATAGGTCGCAAGATCGAAAATTTTCGGTTTGCGACAATAAAAAGAAATTTTTAGGTATATTGAGGTAACAAACCACTTACCATGGGGTAAATCCAATCTAGGTTCTTTGGTTGTGCTGTAGATCTACCACTCATAACATTATACACAACCATAACACTAAAGAAAATAAATCCAAATAAGTTACATGATTAAAATTTACAATAGAGAGCATAAAGTTAATACATTTTACAAATTAAAGTTTACCTTTTTATTAAATTTTTGAATTGTACATTGGGCTTACGATGCAAAGAACAAAACCAGATTGCAACATTGTTTGTAGGACAAAGAACCAAGAGCTGCCAATGATTTCTATATTGAGCCACAATTAGTTACACAACATATACATAAAATAAATGCAATTAACAAACATGCACTTACTGATCGACATAAGGAGCCAAGTAAATTTGCTTTGGTGAAGTTTTTATCCTTTCATTGATATAATTTTGAGACTCAGCTTTTTTATTCCCTAATTTTTGTATTATCTGGGGCTCAAAAAATCCATACAAGTCCATGGCCAAGCTCCTCAATTTTTTGATTCAAATATCTGAAATATACGCAAAAGAAGGAATTAATTATGAATGCATCATAGTTAAAAAGATAATGATACTAAGAATTGTGTACTTACAACATCCATAATTGTATGATTGAGATGTTGAGCATTTCACGTTGTATTAATTCATATATATCTTGAAATGAAATATACACTTAAAATCATGATTGTTGACACCAAATAGACTTGCAGGACATATCACCTGAAATGATTAGATTGGGTAAGTAACAAACCTAAAATAAAATCCTGTTAAATACTCTTCATATTAGTTAGACAAGTCACCTAAAATGGTTGGCCATAAAGTAAGGACTTTGACGCCTCACACAAGTCACTATTAGGTTTTGACCTATCAGGAGGTGGTACTCGAATGTTTTCTCCATCAATTCTCTAAACAATGATCAAAAATCAAATATTGATATTAATAAGCAAAAATATGTATTGGTAAATAAAAATATTAATAATGAAAACCATAGGTTAAAAATATATACCGTGGTTGAAATATCTCTCACAAGATGTCTCGGCCATGAAATGAAAGTCTGTAGGGCCTGTCCAACCAATTGAACCTCTGAAGTAGGTACGGGAACTAGAGCATTAGAATCTCGAACTTGCTCAACAACCACCTTCACCAAATCATTTGTCAAAGGCACATGGTATATGACTAAACTCCCCTCATAAACTCTACCAATGGCCACTACACGAGGAGGAATCTCATTGATTGGAGATATCATCATGAGGCTCACCCCCAAAGGGATTACCAACAATAGTAGCACTTGAAGGAGTTGGACAACTGCCTTTAGTGCTAGCACGAGCCAGCATAGCATGATCTACCTCAACTGGAGGAACATCCTGTGACTGTTGAGCACTCATATTTGGGTACTTTGACATTAAACTTTGTGTGACCCGTACATATATTTGTTGTGTGAGGGCTTCAAAATATTGGGGGCTCAATTTAGATAAGGATGAGCCTTTTGACAATGGTCCAAAGTAATTACTAATAGTAGCACTAGCCCCAGCTATACGAACACGACCAGGGTGCTCTGGTCGCCCAAGGGCAGTAGTCAATATATCTTGACGACCTTCGGGAATAAAAGAACCTTGTGATGTTTGCTCCTCCAACTCATTCTACAATAAATAAACTTTGTTTATAATATATCCTACAATAAAAAATTCTACAATAAATCTTAAGATAGGTAATGAGATTTTTTTATAAAAAAAATACAATTTTTTTTGCAACTTGGTTAGCAGACTCAGAAGTCAGCTCACCCGAACTTTTTGTGCGAGCCATGTTCCACAACCTATGGCGTGGAGGAGGAGGTGGAGGATCAATCACTACATCCTCACTAGCACCGGATTGTATTGCTTCCTCCTTAAGTGATGGAGTCCCTCCTTCCATGATTGATAATGGTGTGTTGAAGGAAGACACCTTGCCCGTGATCTAGGCTCACCAAAGGTTAGGCAAAGGAAAGTTTATGGTGGACAAAGGGGTGTTAGGCGTGAATGGGTGTAGGGTGGCAGAAGTGTTTGGGTTATGGTGTAGGGTTGCTCAAGGTTGGCTCACTCCAAGTGTAGGTGGAGGCCACTCTAGGTTTCCTACTCTCCAAGGGTGGAGATAGGAGGAGGTTAGACGAATCAAACCTAGTGACTAAGGAAGAGATGTTGAGGCATAAAATGCTCACTCAAAATCTATATAATCCAAAGTATTTCTGGATATCTTGTGCTTTTTTCTTACAAGCTGCAATAATTTAATAATCCCACAAGTAAAAGTGAAAAATAAATAAAAATATAATATAAATTTTAAAAACAATAATCATTAATTACCTTCCAAGAAGGATCATTTCGAATTTCTTTAAATTTTTCCCATTCTTCAGGGTCAATATTATACTCATCACAACGACTTTTACCCTTGTATTTCCCATGTACCCACTCCTTTGTAAGATAAGACTTATGTTGCCTAAATTTTGTAGCAACAGATGAAAGCATTTTACTCTTCAATATATTAGTATCACTGATGTCATACACTCCCTACAAAACAATTTTAGATTTAAGAGTTAATAATAATAACATTAAAAATGATTATCATTTTGTCAAATTATGTAAATATAGTGGAAATACCAAAATATCCTGCCAAATCATGTTTTTAGTAGTTTGTGGGACTTCTTTCCAAAAAGGGACTAAAATACTAATGTTGTCTCTAGCAAGGGTTCCCAAATAACTTGAAAATTGAGCTTTGTTTGGCCCTGAAACTATCCTAGTAGTGGGATCCACATCAAGTGAAAATTTGGGCCCTTTCATGCGTTTACGGGCTAAACTTTTCATTCGTGTCGACTTCCTCTTTTTCTTAGATGTAGCCTGTGAAGTAGGGACTATAGGAGCAGGGGAGCCTTGAGCAGCAGGGGAGCCTTGAGAAGCAGTGCTCGGTTGAGTATCCATGTGTCTGTTTTGACAAAAAAATAACCAAGGTCAATTGGAAAAGTAATTAAATGAATTAAAAACATGAAAAAATGAATGAAAAGAATATTAAATTATACATCAAGATAAACATAACTTAATGTGGTAATTAAATAGTAATGTTTTTTTTCCCATATGCCTTCATCATGGTCATTACGAGTGGCATGAACGTCGTCTTGCTCAATTTCTTCGTTGTTAGTAGACATACGTGTTGAGAAAGAAAGACTCTCCCAAAATTCAAGTGTTGAATCATCAACATTGTGTACACTTCTACCTTGTAGAACCACTGACCATCTTTCATCAATAGGATCTTTGACATAAAATACTTGTGTTGCTTGGTTTGCCATGATGAAAGCTTCATCCTTATGACCCACCTTGCTAAGGTCTACCATTGTAAATCCCATTTCATCGGTTCGCACACCAATGTTAATATCAATCCATTTGCACTTAAAAACAGGAACTTTAAAGATACCATAACTGTTCTCCCAAATGTCTTCAGTGACTTCATAGTAACTTGTGGATGCCACAACGGGATTTTTATCATTTCTACTAGAAAAATGCATGGATTGAGCCTGAAGAGTAACCCCACTATTCTGCATGGTACTATTGTCATCTTGTGACTTTGTGTAAAAGGAAAAGTTATTGATATCATAGCCAGTATAAGTAAAAACATTATATTTAGGTTCATTTGCAAGACATTTTAATGTGTTAGAAACATTATCATCACTAAAGACTTTTTCTTTGAACCATTTTAACAATGTCTTGTTATGCTCATTGACCAATGATTTTTCGTTCATTCTAGGGTTTTTTTTCTTCAAAAGGGCTTGATGCTCAGATATGTAAGGAAGAACCTCCTCGGTGTTGTTCAATATATACATATGTGCTTGAAGTAATTCCTTTCGAAGAATGAATTTAACTTTTTGGCCTTTTTACCCTTACCTTCATATCTATCCTCATGAAGAGACTTAGGAATCCCTACAGGTTTTGCTTTGGACATGTAATATAAACAAAATTCAATAGCTTCTTCTGCAATGTACCTTTCAACAATAGATGCTTCTGGACGGTATGGATTCTTGCTATACCCTTTTAAAATCTTCATGTAACACTCAACTGGGAACATCCATAGTAAATAAACAGGGCCACATAGTCTAATCTCCCTAACTAGATGAACAATCAAGTGAATCATGATGTCAAAAAAAGCCGGAGGAAAATACATCTCCAATTGGAATAGGATAATAACAGACTCATTTTCCAACTCATCCAACTTCTTAGGGTCAATGACTTTAGCACATATAGCATTAAAAAAGAAGCACAAACGAGTTAACACACTTATGACATTATTAGGCAAAATGCCACGTATAGCCACAAGTAAGAGTTGTTGCATCAAGACGTGACAATCATGAGACTTTAAGCCAACCAATTTAAGATCGTTCCATGATACAAGGCTCTTAACATTTGAAGAGTATCCTTGTGGAACTTTCACACCTCGTAGACATTGACAAAAACTTGTTTTCTCTTTTCTTGACAAAGTATGACATGCTAGAGGCAAATATGTATGCTTACCTTCTAACCTTGGATGTAATTGTGAACGTATACCAATCTCTAATAAATCTTGACGAGCATTAAATTCGTTCTTTGTCTTGCCTTTAATGTTTAAAAGTGTGCCTATTACACTATCACATACATTTTTCTCCACATGCATAACATCTATGCAGTGTCTAACATCTAGATGGCGCCAATATGGAAGATCAAAAAATATAGACCTCTTCTTCCACAATTTTTTCTCAATTAACTTCTTTTGGATCTTTCCAAAGATAATATTTATGTCCTTGACCTGATCATAAACTTGCTCACCAGTTAAGGGTATCGGTGCAATTTCATGTTCTTGACATCCATTAAAAGCTTTTTTCAATCTCCGATATGGGTGATTAGGTATGAGAAATTTTCGATGCCTAGTGTAAACAGTTTTCTTTCCATGCTTTAGTTGTAGGTAGCTTGTCTGTTGTTGACAGATAGGGCATGCGTGATGTCCTTTAACACTATATCCACTCAAGTTCCCATATGCTGGAAAATCATTAATAGTACAAAATATCATTGCATGCAACTTGAAACTTTGTTGAGGAGATCCATCAAACACATCAACCCCTTCTTCCCACAAAATTCTCAAGTCCTCAATCAAGGGACTTAGGTAAACATCTAAGTCATTTCCTGGTTGACTTGGGCCTGCAATCATCATACACAATATCACATATTTTCTCTTCATGCACAACCAAGGAGGCAAATTGTACATTGAAAGGAGAATAGGCCATGAACTATGGCTGGTGCTTAAGTTACCAAACAGATTCATTCCATCTGAAGCAAGTCCGAGCCTAAGGTTTCTTGCCTCACTACCAAAATCTGGAAATAACCCATCAATTTTTTTCCATTGTGGAGAATCAGCCGGATGCTGAAGCATGCCATCACAATTTCTATTGTCTGCATGTCATGTAAGGTTCATTGCATCAGTTGCATTAGCAAACAATCGCTTAAACCTTGGAATGATTGGAAGATACCATAACCCCTTTGCTAGGCCCCCCTTTTCATATACATCTTCATCACTACTACCACCACCATCCTTCACTTTGTACCATGATAGTCCACAACGAGGACATTTGTGCAATGTTTCAAACTCTTTTCTATACAATATGCAATCATTAGGGCATGCATTTATTTTCTTATACTGTAGACCCATCGGACACAACCTTTTTCGCCTCATAATGACGGTCTGGCAACGTGTTATCTTTTGGAAGCATTAACTTCAACAACTCAAGCAATTTTGTGAAACTTTTATCACTCCACCCATATTTTGCCTTCAAATTCATCAATCTTAAGACCGCTGATAATCGTGTGAAGGTTGTACAATCAGGAAACAAGGGTGTCTCTGAGTCACTTTTTAAAGTATCATAAACATGTGAATGTGCTTGTTGGAAAGACTCTTGTCCCACATCACGAATCATGTCCTCTATTTGATATTCCATTTCTACATCACCTTCCTCAGTATGAGACACTGTTCGAGTTTCTTGATCTTCACCATGCCATATCCATGTTGTATAGCTCGTTAAAAACCCATCACAAATAAGGTGGTCCCGTATTTCATCAATTGCATGTCGTCTCCTATTTAAACAATTAACACAAGGACAATAAAATTTTCCATTTAAATTTGTTCCATTTCATTGAGCAAATTCCAAAAATTGTTCAACCCCATTTTGATACTCATCACCGATTCTTCTTGCATTCATCCAACTATGGTCCATTTTTCTTCTTCTGTGGCATAAATTTATTTACACAATTCAATTTTTATGGTGCCTCTGTATAGTACAATAGCAAATCATATACTAAATCAATGTTATTTGAAGCTATTATTTCATTTTTAAAAAGGTTTTACGAATTTTGTCACATAAAATAGCAATTTGTGTGTTATATATGAGTTATTGTAAATTAACCATACAAAATATGGGTTAAACTCTTTAATTTTTTTTCCTTTTTATTATTCAATTTTTCAACCAATAAAAAAGATATGGTGTTTTACAATTGATCATGAATCAACAAACTTCTCTATTGCTGAGGGGTTTCAGCAGTTTAGCTTCCTACACTTATGAAACAACACTAAAATTACAACTAATGTTTCAAAATGTGGTAAAAAAGAAAAATCTACCAATTTACTGATGTTATGAGGTAAAAGTAAGTTGTACAAGTTAGAAGAAAAGTTTTAACTTCAGATTCCTTCCTAAAATAATTTCACCAAATTAATCTATTAGTTTTTAATATAATTAGTAACAAAAAAAATTGCATAATACGGCTTTTTGTCAAGATTCTTTGAATACTTCACACTATAAACATCATAATACAAGGGGATGCTAATCTAAAGAATGATGCTAGCTAGCCTGATTAGGCCATTACATAGAATGGTCCACCTATTTGACTGCCGAGCTTTGCATCACGTGGAAGACTCATGGAATCCTATGGCTAGCTGGCTGGAGATATTTGGATAATTAAATTTATATATATATATATATATATATATATAATTTTACTTTTTCTATATTACATGTATCCTTTGGTAGAAGTCATTTTGAAATAGGTAAGACATTTTATAGAAGAAATAAAAATCAAATATTTTATAGGCCCATTTTGCAAGTATATTAGAGAAGAGGAAATAAAAATACTGAAGGGAGAATGGGAGAGGAAAATGGGCCCAAGGCAACGTGGGCTTGACTATGGTAGCTGAGGGGGAATTTGGAAAAGAGAAAGACTGAGTTGTAACTGAATGTACAGATGGCAAGCAAAGGGAGCTGGAAGGAGGTGCAGAAATCATGGAAAGGGGAGGAAAGTGCAATGTGAATAGAGTGCAAGTATCACAATCATCAAATCAGTCATGACAATCCAATGTTTTGATTGAAGCTAATTTGGTTTAGGTTTGGTCACAGGCCTAATCAACCTATAGATTCTATACTAATAAATTTAATACACTTTAATTCTCGCTTTCAAGTACAGCATCATTATATTAAAGAGGTTTATAGTTTATAAATTACACTATTGAACAAAGGCAATATCTTTGTTAATGATAAAAGGCATAAATTTTGGAGCAAAACAAACTCTCTATCTTCTCATTCATATTGCAAATGAAATTACACTTATTTGTA